ATGGCAAAATGGATGTGGAAACTATACAGGAAGGTGGTTGAAACAGCATTTCTTTAAGTAGTTGAGTCAAGAGTTCTGGTTGCAGCAACCATCACAGATGATGTCAAAGCTGGAACTGAGGCTGGAGTCAAATTGAATCGAACCAGAATATTTTGCGAATATCGAGCAAAACGTGAAATGTTCAAATCAATGACAATTAATGTCGTAAAGGTGCATAACATATTACTATCATAAACTTAGGACCCAAAGGGAGAAATAGTGTGTTGAGTGAGACCTTTTGAGTGGAGGGAAGATACCATACTTCCAGCCAATCACAGAGCAGGTCTTTTGGAGGTATCTTTTTTTTTTTTTTTTTTTAACTCTTCTCTTCAGTTACCCTGGCCTTCCTGGATATCTTTGGTCTAGCCTTGGATCAAATTTCATGCAATGCACTGTAAAATTCTCTTGTTATTTTATTGCATAAATTTTCAATTCAAAATACAATATTTGATTTTCTACAATTGTAGTATATCAGATACCTGTATAATACATTTCAAACCTTCATTACTTCAAAATACCGTACTATAGAGATTCAAGTGGAAACTTGCTTTTGTTTCAGATTTTCAGCTGTAATTTAAAAATATATACAACTTTTCCCTTCACAAAGGTAACCAGGAATTAATGTAAAATTTTTTGTATAATTTGTTGAAATATATCTACCAAATCTGATTGGAAGATTTGTGGCAGTGACTTCAAATCTGAAACCTAGTTGATCCAAAGCCAAACAGACTTATATAGAAAGGTATGACATAATGTATAAAAGCTACGTAAGAGGAAAAAATGGAAATGCAGAAAAAAGTTATATTCATTATTTACAAACAGCAGAATTGTTTATTCTTCAACTAAATGCATATCATTAATGATATTTAATTATACTTGACAATCACAATCTTCTTTCTGTTTAGTTCATGGTGTAAATTTTTATAGTATCATTAGTTATAGTTCTTTCATGTGCTTTGAAACTGAGCAGATTTTAGAATTATATTAGTAACATCAGCATTGGATCTGTGACAAGTGCATGTATAATTTTATATGAAATCTGTCATAATATATCAGAAAATGTCCAATTGTCTGTTATGTTTATTAAAAGTTTGATGAAGATCAAATATGCATTCTGTAAGAAATTTTGACAGGAATATTTGTGTAAATCTTCCTTTGCATAGCTGATCATCTTATCCACATTGCTGTTAGTTATGATTAGCTCATGAAACTTTTTTTTTTGTTTTAATTGAAATTTTTATTTTTTTAATTGGAATTTTTATAGTATTTTTTATGAATGAACCTATATTCAATTTGAGATGTGTGGAAATTATTTTGATTAATTGACAGATGGCACTAGCATTGCATTTTAACACAACGCGACGTGCCTTCTGAATTTCCATAGACTCTCCACCGGCAGCTCGAGAGATGGATGTTTGATGCTTCACACACTAGTTGATTAGGAACACTTCGGTTCCTATTTGAAAGATTTCGATTGTGAAAGCACATAGATTTGTTTAACAACTGAACCAACATGTAATTGATGATCTGTAAATATTGTACATATTAAAGGTTACATTTTTAAAGTGATCGATTTATAGCAATCTTAGAGTATTTTGAAACAAGATGCATTATTATAACACACCTCAAATTTTGCCAAGAAATGTTACAATTGTGCATAGTTTTTATTTGCCCCTGAAAAAACTAAATGTAAATTGAATCCTAAATTTCTTCAAATCTCTGAATATGAATATCTAAAGCCTGAAAATTTCAAATTTTGCAAATATCAGATTTCTCAATTTTTTAAATAAAAATAAGAAGGGGGGAACTTAGTGTAAAAAGTTTTTAAATATAGTGGAGTTTTAAATCTGAATTTAATGAAAAAATAAGAATGCATTTTTTAAAAAGTACTGTTATGTTTATTAAAAAGATGGGAATAAAATTTAGTAAAGGAAATAACTGTTAATAATTTAATAAATGAAATTCTTTGATAATTAATTGAAACGATTAAACTCTTGAATCTTGAGGTCCATTTTTTCAATATAATTTAAAAAACATGTTTGAGTAGCAATTCAAATTCCAATTAAAAGTTCAAAATTCAGCAACCCAGGGGCATAGCTAGAGGGGGGCAATGGGGGGCATCTGTCCCCGGGTGCAGAATCCAAGGGGCGCCAAACTGATGTTACAACATTTTATAATAAAATGTTTTCCATCCTTGGTAAGCAGTAGGGGCACGAAATCTTCAGTTGTCCCTGGGCACTGAAAACCCTAGCTAAGACTCTGCAGCAACCATAGTTTAATAGTTCAACAGGTAAATGACAAGAGTCAGGTTAGTGTCTACATATTGCTATACCAAGCCATAAGTTCTTAAAAACATGCAGGAGATATTTGTAGTGGTTGTCTACATCCAGAATTATATACATGATAGGACAATTGATTTTAAAAATTTTCGAGAAAGTGCAGTACACCGATTACTTGAGCGAGGATTTTAGATTTTGATTTTTCGGATGCCATATTGAAACTTAGTAACACTCAGAACCGTCACAGGGTAAATTTAGTGAATCAGCTGCTAAAATTTCAAGAATAATGTTCATTTTTTTTGTGAGTTAGTAAAACTGATGTTTTCAAAATTTTCAGTTAAGATGTTTGGTGATTTTGTTTCTTAGGCTTTGAATAAAAAAAAGCACTGAGATTCAAATTTTGCAAATTTAAATGTTTTTAAAGATTTGTGAGATCTGAAAATTTGAATGTTTCATCCTTATAAAAAATGTAACTGATAATTCAATTTGCATAAATTATTTAGGGCTAAGTGTGTCAGTCCTCATGTTAATTGTATGGAAAATACGAAGTTATTATTTTTGTATAGAATCCAGAAAATATTTACAGATTATTTTCATACAATATTCTTATTTCGAAGAGCATATGTATGAGCCAATTACACATAAAAGGTCTTTATTAGATAGTATCCCTCCCCTTTGGGATATAGCTCTTGTTTTCCTTACCAAATTGAAGCAAAATTTTCTCAAATAAACGTTCTTTGCTAAAAAACGTTACATCAGAGAATTGTGTAAACTCAACATTGCATACTGGCTGCAGTCATAATTGACCAAGAATATTTGAAACTTCAATGTGCAGACCAACAAAATGGAAATAAAAGAGGGCAAACTTCGCAGTTACATTACAATTTTGTTTCAATAAAAATGAATGTACTCAAGAAGAAATGTTAATGAGAAGGATGACTGTTTAATTTCAAAAGTGCAAATCCGCATGTATTGAAACACATTTTTGTATGTACGTACCTCGGTTGCCATATAAATACTTTTTGGCAACATGATGCACTGCCAAATCAATACTTTTTTTGCAGCTTTTCCAGGGGGAATACAGTTAATCAGAAAGTATCCAAGAATAAACAGAATTATGGTATTTATGTAATAATTCATGAAGAGTATTTTAAAAATGGCATAATAATTAAAAGACAAATTTAAAAAAATCATTGAATTTAAAATTTTTGTTTAATTCTTAAAGATCAACATAAGAAAATCTGGAACTTGCATATTATCCTATGGATCGTGAAACTGTCACCAAGCAGCACTATTAATGCCAGTTATGAATAAGCATGACATCATAACACACTCATAATGTCTGCACTATCATTTGATGTAATCACAGCTAAACAATGCTGATACAATGTGAAAATCTATAACAAGAGAATATCCATTAATAAAGAAAAGTGGTTTGAGTGCTGTAGAATTGCATTCATGAAAGTACTCGTATTCATATGCAGATGATTAACAGAATTAACATGTTAATTCAGAAGTCAAACAACAAAAATCAGCGTTATATTTACCAAATTTTCACAGGACTAGTTTCGATGGTTTTACCGAACCACCATCTTCAGCTGCAAAACCGCAAATGAACCAGATAGGAAATAATGATTAGATAAGATAAGAAAGCCTGGACAAGAATAGGCAAGTGGCGCCATCTGTTGGTGAAACCAGAACTAAAACATAATTTCTTTAAAGGCCGAAGGCAAATTTGGATCGTTAACTAGAACAGAAAGATTTTTATGAATGTGAAATGCCTCTAGAAAATCCAGTTCTCCAATGGAAGATGTTTTTTGAATAATTTTGGCAGCAGAAAAACTGAAAGTGTGGTTTTCGGACCAACAATGTTGAGCAACAGAAGACTTCTGTGTTTCCTTTTTTCTAACATATGCCTCATGTTCCTTGACGCGAAATTTTAAGGCTCTCTTAGTTTGGCCAATGTAAATTAATTCATTTGCGTAAATTAATTACAATGAATTAATTTACATAAATTTGATTCATTTGCGTAAATTAATTCATTCAATGTAAATTAATTCATTTTCTTATCTTATCTAATCATTATTTCCTATCTGGTTCATTTGCGGTTTTGCAGCTGAAGATGGTGGTTCGGTAAAACCATCGAAACTAGTCCTGTGAAAATTTGGTAAATATAACGCTGATTTTTGTTGTTTGACTTCTGAATTAGTATTTATTCGGCGTGTTATTGTGTCAGAATTAACATGTGTTGAATGGGGAAAAGAACAGCTGGATATGAGTAACAGAACAATAATAGATTAGAAAAATTACTTGCAAGGAGTTCATATTCATAGTGTTCTAAATAAAACTTGATGTAAACTTGGAGGGCATAACAAAATGGTCAAAGTCGACAAAAGCTTTTTCATGGCATATGAAGACGAAGCGAGTTGAGTACTTCCTCAGTAGTGGCTATTTGGTGGACTGTGCAGAGAGGCTAGTAGATGTTTTATTGTAAGAGCTGCAGACAGAAGTGCAGCTCAGAATTTCTCATTTTTGGTGGGGTCTCTGCCAACTTTCACGATCAACGGAATAATATGCGAGTACCAAAATTCATTTAATTTGGTGTAAAATATCAGTTCTTATGTGAATTCGTGAATTATTTAATTTTTTAAAAATATTTTGTATGTATGTTTATAATTGTAGGTGTAAAACATGTGGCGAATATATTTATAAAGGGAAAAAATTCAATGCCCGTAAAGAAACAGTACAAAATGAGGAATATCTAGGAATAAAAATATTCCGATTCTACATCAAATGTCCAAGATGCCTTGCTGAAATAACATTTAAGGTAACATTTTTCTATTATTTATTTGAAATATGTAGAGACATTAGAACATTTAATGCTGAGAGATGTGAAAAAAGAGCAATGCCCTCGCTGGAACTCAAATCTGGACCTGTAAATACTCGCCAAGTGTGCTCACCGTAAAGGTATGCTAAGAAAGTGGGAGAAATACCATATACAGTGTCTCACAAAAGTGATGGGACACTTGTGCTTTACGAAAGGAAACTGTAATAAAATAAATTAAAAAACATGTAAACATTTTTTGTGGGTGTGTTTCATACTTAAATTTAGTAACAATTATTACATAACATACATTTTCTCAAAATATTAAAATATTAATTTAATAAAAATACAATTGTTTAGAACGGAGCAAAAAATGGCTCACATAAGTGATGGGACACCATTACATACTACTACGTACTACAATAAAAATATTTTTTGGTTTTTTTATTTTTACTCAAAAGCAATTGGCAATAATTTATAAAATCGTCTGCAGTATTTCTCTCCAGTTTGTTTTGGAATTTTTGTGTTTTTTAGCTCTGTGCAGCCATGAATGCTAAACGAAAAGAAACTTTGCCTGAAGTTCGAAAATTAGTTATTAATTTGCATATTGAACGTGGAAAATCTATTAGAAAAATTGCTGAAACAGTTAACTTGAGTCATTCAAAGGTTTTCGATATCTTTAAACGATATAAAAAGAATCATATGATTCAAGATAAAAGAAGACCTGGCCGACCATCAAAGCTATCCAATGGAATAAAGCGAATTATCGTTCAAAATATTAAAAAAATATCCAAGAATGAGTGCTCCTAAAGTTGCTGCTTATTTACAAGCATTATATGGAGTAATTGTTAATACTGAGACTATTAGAAGAGTAATTCGATCTGCTGGATATCATGGTAGAGCAGCCGGGAAAAAATTCTTCGTCAGTGAAAAGAATAGAAAACTCAGACTGGCTTTCGCAAAATCCACATAAATAAGAATTCTGATTACTGGAATGAAGTTATATTTGCTGATGACAGTAATTTAATAATATTTGGTTTCTGACGGTAGAATCTTGGTGTAAACCCAGGAAAACCCAGGGAAGAATTTCGCAAACAGAACTTGGTGCCAACAGTAAAACATGGTGGAGGAGGAGTTATGGTATGGGGGTGTATGTCGTCTGGCTGGAATTGGTAATCTTTATTGACAGTTTTTCATTGACATTTATTTATGATTTAATGATTTATTTGATTTTATTGACAGTCTAATGAATCAGGACAAGTATATTGACGTTTTAAATCAAAATTTTGAAATCTTCAGCACGAAAGTTTGAACCTTCATAACGATATTAAATTCTACCAGGACAATGACCCCAAGCACATTGCTTTGAACGTTAGACTCTGGCTGTTGTATAACTATCCTGAAATAATAAAAACACCACCATATTCTATAGACTTAAATCCCATAGAGAATATTTGGCAAGAATTCACAAACACACCATTTCTTCAAAACAACAATTAAAATCGGTGCTTCAAGAAGAATAGGGTAAAATCACTCCAGAAATCAAAAAAAAAAAAAAAAAAAAAAAAAAAAATAGTCGAATCCATTCCAAGAAGATTAAATCATGTTTTAAAAGTAAAAGGAAATCCAACAAAATATTAAAACCTTTTAAAAAGTAAAATTTTTGGATAAATATTTGATAGAAAAGTAAGTGTCCCATCACTTATGTGAGCCATTTTTTGCTCCGTTCTAAACAATTAGTAGATTGTCCCATTAAATTAATATTTTGAGAAAATGTTTTTTTTTTTGCTCCTTTCTAAACAATTGTATTTTTATTAATTAATTTTGAGAAAATGTTTGTTATGTAATAATTGTTACTAAATTTAAGTATGAAACACATCCACAAAAATTTTTTACATGTTTTCTTAATTTATTTTACTACAGTTTTCTTTTGTAAAGTGCAAGTGTCCCATCACTTTTGTGAGACACTGTAAATGTATTAAAATTTTTTGAAGTAAATTATAATCTAGATTACCTGGTCTTCAATGAACTATCTTACAAAAATCCTACTCTTCCACAAAGATGTCTTAACTGAAAAATATAAGTCAGTAAATTATCATTTAAAAAACTGAAGAGATGAAAGCAATAAATTGCTCATATTTTAACATCAGAGAAGTCTATCAGTAAATATATTTCATTTTACTATGTGATGGCTAACTTCTTACCACTAACTTATAATTTTTAATTTATTTATTGTAGTTATTGTTATACCTTTTATGAATTAGAAATTTGATTGGAACTTTATATTGATAAACATATTACTTTCTGTTATATAGATCTATTAACAGTCATCTCTATAGCTTTTTAATCCCTTTAAAACATGTGTGGACCAACAAACTGAGTTGACTTGTACAACATGTTATTTCAGTGGCAGTGTGATCTTACTGCAACCAGCATTGGTTTCAGTAATTTTGGGGTGCCTGCAAGTTGTAACATAAGAGCCCCAAACATGATCCTGTTTAAAACTGCATTTTCTAAACCATGTTTATTCTATTACATAGTTATTATCGTTAATTGTTTTATTTATTTAGTTTATAAATGGTGGGCGCTTGCCTATAACGGCATTGGCCACTTTATTTCAAAATTAAAAATTATAACTCCCTTTGTAATATATTTTGTATATTAACAATTTTCAAATTTTTGTAGTTTTCCATACCCAGATAGAATACAAACATAGTAAAAAATCTGATGTGGACACTGCATGAATTCCTTATATGGCCTATTAAGTTATACACAATTTTTGTTGCATTTCATTTAAACTTATTTCCTTGAATTTCATTAGAGATATGTTTCTTATGCAATTAATTCAGTTCTCACTTTGTGACAAAGCCAAAATACATAAAAACTCAAAAAATTATCATTAAAAATTGTAAAATACAGACAAACATAAAACAGTTAAAAAGAAACAATTTTTGCAATTAAAATTGGAGTTTCTATGCAAAAACAAGCAATTCGGCCATAATTGTGAAGAAGAATGTGAATAAATGTGAATTGAATAAGTTCAAAGAAGGGATATTTAATAAATAAAATTGACACACAAAACATTAATAATAAAAAGAGAAAAATTTGTAAGGCAGCTTATGAACACTGATGTGATGAACTGAAAAATGATTGGAAAAAAAATTAGAAAAAATATGTGTCAACATTTAACACTGCATCAAGAATTCTAAACATATACTGCTGTGCTGCTGTTAAATTTTTTGTGAATTTGCTGTTGATTTGTATAAGTGGGAAGAAAACAGTGTTTAATAATAAAACTAAAAAGGAAAAAGAAAAGGATAGCGGGATGCAAACTCAGCAAGAGTATAAAAAACCTTAATAAAAAAACTTTGGGGCAACTATAAAACCTGAAATATTTCAGATTTTTTTTTTTTTTAAAACCTTTTTGAAATCTATTTACAGACTTTTCATTAACACTTAGCATTGCATTTATACATTTCATTGTAGTGTCTAATGGCCTTCATTCCTGATGAATTACTTTATTGTGGAAATCCTCATTGCAGTGAGTGGCAGCATTCATCTTTGCTGCATAATATGCATATGTGCATGCCACAGCACCCGAATAAAAACTTGAACTTTATTTTTGGAGTGGAACTATTTCTTGATTATTTCCTGATTAATTGTAATTATTATTGTGTAATTAAATTACCTTAATACTTTAGTATTTTCTTCAGTTTAAATTCATCCAGTGACAGTTTCAGAAAAATGGCAGAATTAATATTAGATGCTGTCATCCTCTGAAGAAAGTATTATATAGCTTAATAAATTTTACTTATATAAACTTCTTTGCTATTGTTGTTTACTTTGCATATTTTGAATGGTATTATTCATATTCTTGAACATTATTATCATTTTTACATTTTTGAGTCGTGTATTTTCTAAGATAATACTTTTTTGCATATGGTTTTGATTCTGAGGTGCTTAAAAAGGATTTTTTGACCTGATTTAATTTTATCTGAATGGGCTTTCTTTTTTTTTTTTTTTTCCCTTCTTCTTTATATTTTATTTATTTATTTATTTATTTGAAAAAAAAAAACAATGTACTAATGTCAGTTTTGAAAAGTAATACTGATAGAGGCATGATCATGAATGCCTCAATAAAGTAGTAATGAGTAATATATTACAGTAAAATAATATATTGACTATTTAAAAGTAGGATTATTAATTTCAAAATTAAATCATTTTCTCAAGCAAGTTCAATTATTTGCCAAACTGCATTTGCATTAAAACACTAGGAACGCTTAAAGGAAGAATCTCATTATCCAATTCTTAAAATTTTTCTATTTTAATTATTAAATATTGCATTTATTGAAAAAAAAAAGATTTTTTTGAAAGATATTTATTTGCTTAAACCTGAAATTTATTTATTTTTTTAGACAGATCCTGAAAATGCTGATTATATTGTAGAACATGGTGCTTCTAGAAACTTCCAAGCCCTTAAACTTGCTGAAGAAGCTGCTGCTAAAGAAGCTAAAGAATTGGAAGAAGAAGAAAAAAATAATCCCATGAAGGTTAATGGCTACTGAGTATTGAGTATATATATTAAATCTGTGTTAAATGCATTTGTTAAGTCATGTTTCATAATTTGCAAATTATCTTAAATGTTATTCACTTTCTTGAATAAACTGAATGGTATTGTCATAGTACTTAGCAACATTATAAAGTACACTATATAACGGGACACTCATATAGTATGGTTTTGCTGTATCAGTAAATCTTTAGTGTATTAAAATACTACATAATTTAAGAGAAATCATTATCTAGAAAAATTGAAAAGATAAGAAAAAGAAGAAATTGTTGATTCAGTCCCATTTATCTGAACCATTGGAGTATTACTTTTTAAACAAAAAATTCTTTATTTGAAAAGAAGGCAAAATTTAAAACAGAACATTACAAGTGCTTATCTTTATGTAATGCAATTTGTAAAGATTTCTTAGCTAAATCAAACATTTGAAAATGACCTTTTAAAGAAAGGAAGAAAATGTAGAACATAGTTATGATGTTGCTGATAAAACTCAGAATATAAGACTATTTCAACAAGGGAAGGGGAAACCTCAATTAATGGCAGTTAGTAGTGAAAAGAAAACATTATGTGGAATTAACATCCAATACTTTTTATCAGTTTTTGCTTTAAACATTTTTCTTAATCACAAAGTGGAAATAATTTTATTATTCTAAATTTTAGAATTTAACCCTGTTTTATATGTTAATTCTTTGTTCATGCATCATGAATTTATATAAACAGGCTTTTTTAAGTAACTAATTGACATGTTATGGAAAGAATACTTACATATTGAATTGTAGAATACAAGAATAAATTAACTGTAACTACATAATATTAAAACCATCAGTACTGTCAGCTTCTTGGCCGATTATTCTTTCTAATACACATAAAACAGTACTCTAGCTAGAAATTCAGAGATAATTTTTTCTTGACTGTTATCTCTATTTTCTAATATAGCTTCTTGAGGTGTTGAATGTTTGTAATAAAATCAAAGCAGTTCATGACAGAGCACAGAAAAATACATTGCAGAAGAAAAAAAAAAAAAAATAGGAAGCAAGTGTTTGTCTTAAACCTGCGAGCAACATGACCTCTTTTATTCATTCATAAGATTTATTTCTATCTTGTTATTTAAAATAGTTTGTTTTCTTATTTCCATTAACAATATAAATATCATCCTGGTGAATGGAGAGGTATGAAAACAAAGAGTAAAGTAAATAATGACATAAATATAGTTTCAAATGCATTATAGATATAGCTTTTCATGATTGGATTAAAAGGCTATGTAGGTCATATTGCTAAGAAAACTTACAGTGTGGAATATATGTATGTTTTTTAAGCAGTTGGAGAAGTGATGTTTAAATAAGTTTCAAATAAGAAAGAATTAACATATTTACTGCCAGAGTAGATATGTACTTCTTCAGAAGCTGAGAAATGTGGAAACATTTACTTCACCACATACTGGTGCATGATTGTCTATTATATGATATCATCACTTTGCACCAGAGTGTGATTGGCAGTCAATGTGTTGATGGAATAAATTTAAAATGGCAACTTTATTTCTTGAATGTGAGGCAAAGTATTGCTTCATTGTTACTTATTTGTCAAAATGTTGGTATCAGTACCATTGACTAAAGAATTTCAAGTTTACTTATTGCTTTCATGTAAATTTGTACACTACTAGTATTATGTTAAGTACTACATAATAACCATTAATTTAGGAATGAATGTTCAGAAGGATTATTTATGTTTATGTTGCTATTTTAAGACAGGAAGGGGAAATTACCAGATTGAAAGAATTTAAAGAACTATGACAAATTTTGTCTTTTATACTTTTATTTAAGTATTTTTAGTCTAAGCAAAAAATAATCTTTCATTATCATTATTTTTTAGTCTCCATAGAAAAAGAGTTATCTTAAAATACTACCAAATTTTAGTGTACTTTTCCTTGAGCTACTGTCTTTTCATGCAAGAAATATTTGAAACAAATTGTGGTATTTGTAAAAAAAAAAAAGTCCCATATAACTTATTTATATTGGAGAGAATATTAAAAATATATTTTTTGACCTTAAAAAGAGGAGCTGACTATTCCAAAGAAAAGATCATGTTCATATTTTGGCTATTTCTGCTTTCCATCAGTACTGTAGTCCCGAAATCTTATTAATGAAGTTGGGAATGTTTTTAGTTATTTTTCAAGCTAGGTTTCAAATAAGAAAGCATTGCTTACAAATGTAGCTCGTTAAGAAATAAGAAGAAATGTTTGATCAATAATGCTTTGATGTTATTGTGGATCTAAGGAAATTTGTATAATAAAAAATATCAGAATTATACTTTATAACTTTGTTACATTATTTTCAACTTTCATTTATTTGTAAAAAAATTAAAAAGAATGTAATTAAATTTGTATATAATATATTTTAACAATAAGTTACATATTTCTGACACTAAGTTCATTTAACAATAAGTTAGTCATAATTTCATGTCTTGGTTAGCAAAAACAAATATTCGTACAATTTATGATTAAAATTACTACTAAACTCTGTAGCACAACAGCTCTAGTTGGCCACAGCCTGCAGTGCCCCGAAATCTGCTTTCTTGACTTTGGGCCCTGGAGTGCATCAGCATATGCCCTGAGCAAGTGGTCACCTTGTCGCAGGACCCACAGTGTTTAGTCCCAAAGCAAACTTGGTACTCATTTTATCGACTCACTCGAGGGATGAAAGGCTGAGTCAACCAGCCAGCCCTGTGGTGCAGCTGGATGATGCGCTAGCTACACTGCCATCAGGCAGTTATGATTAAAATTACTTTCCTATTTAAAGTATGGTTAATAATATGTTGTATTTATAAACTTAAGCAATACAAAAATTATCATAAGTTTTTCAAAAAATATTGAAAATCATGAGTCATAAAAAGCTGTATAATGCATATGTGGATGCATAGTGTATCCTAACTGTAGACTTATCAAGAGAACTTATCAGCATTGTGTAAACTTCTCTAGTGTGTTTTTTCAGAGTATCGATCTTTTTCATTTACTTAAAAAAATTTTATTTAGCTTTTAGAGAACAGGACCAAGGCATCAAAACAGGAAATGGAATTGATGGAAACACTTGAAGAATTGAAGGATCTTAATCAAAGACATGCCAAAGTAGATTTGGAGCGATTGTTAGAAGAAAAACAGCAGATGTTGGTAAATGAAATAAAACGACAAGAAGAAGAAGATGAAGCCCTCATTAGGTAATGAAGATAAAATGGAGTATTAGAAATTTATTATATATCTGAAATTTTGCATGATTCAGGGCCATAAGAATGAAAATAAATGGCATGAATATTATAAAGCAAAAAAAATTTTGAAATAATAATATATTAAAATTTTAATACAAGTGAATATCTCAATAATAAATACAAATTTTTGACAGTAATATCTCCCCTAACTCATGCACTTGTATCGCAATGTGACTTATTGATGATGCAGTTTCGTATTTAGGCGGTTATGAGATTTTTGGGGATGGCTATTACTACTACTGCCTCTTTACCACTATAATCTTTAAGAGATTGAGTTTTGCAAAAGGAAGCTTTCATTATGCAATAGTTCTGCTGGGGATGTTCTTCTGTATTGAACTGATTTGAATTCACCAATTCATTTGTCGATGTTGTTAGCTGCAGGAAGTTTGCCAACTGAATTTGTGTGTCCTCTAGGCATGAATTCTCATCCATGAAAATGAAGTCAAGATCATGTGCATATCTAAAAAGGCTTCTGTAGTGCTGTTTTTGTAGAGAAATTAGGATTTTTTGGAAGCAGGAGATGGGAAACATGAGCAATGCCCTCGCCTCGAGACTCGAACCATGGACCTCTTGAATACACGACAAGCATGCTGACCACTACACCACAAAGGCATGCTAAGAAGGCAGAAATACCTTATATAATCTCCCTTTTAAAGGGTGACTGAGGATTAGGGGACCCAATGGTCAAATCCTGGTGGTAAAGAATCTCATCCACCACCTTTTTTAGTTTGGGCGCCACTTTAGAGACATTAGGTATTTTGTAGCAGGAGAGATGAAAAATGAGTAATGCCCTCACCAGAACTCAAACCACGGAACTCTTGAATATGTGCCGAGGGTGCTGACCACTACACAACAAAGGCATGCTAAGAAGGCAGGAGAAAAACTTTACATACTGCCCCTTTTAATGGACAAGTGGGGATTAACCCTCTGGCTAATCATCTCGTGATTTCCACGGGCAACTCAAATGTAGCAAAATTTGCTCATCCTGCGATTTCTGTGGTATGCTAAGAAGGCAGGAGAAATACTTTATATCTTAATATTTGTAAGCAGTTTTAAGTTGAATGCATATAAAGAAATATGTCAACTGATCATTTTCTTCTTCATAGCATTATGTCTACTCTGCATTCCCATAAGTTGGTTTTCCTCCTTGTTGATGGGAATATTTCGTGTTCCTGTTTCCTCCAAATGTAACAAACACATTTAAAATCATAACTGAGCCTTGGCTTATCGCTGAAGAAAACATAGACCTATTATTGTTGTCTTCAGTTCTTCTTCAACTGAGGTGGGGCTCCTGTTTTTGTAAGTTTATGAAATTCAAACTATTGGCTTCAGGCATTAAATTCTTTTTGTATTAAATTTTCTATATGCAGTTTGCTTGATACAGAAACTTATGATACCTGTGAGCTCAACAAGTACTTGCAGCAGCTTACCTTTTTGTTATGTACATATAATCTTAATACAATGGACAGAAACTAGTTTTAAATATTTTTCCTTCTGACATTCTGCTATTGTTTTCTAACAACAGTTTCAGTTGTTTCTAGAAGACAGAGACACATCTTAAAACATTCATTCGCCTTGCCTCTTGCATAGTTAATTTTTATGTTTCTAATCTGCTGATAACTTTATATCTGAAAGATTTTTTTAATTATATTTTTTGCCATAAAAAACTATTTTGATTCAATGATTATAGCTATCAGATCCTTAATTGTAAAAACTCATGGGGAAATATAGTTTGTGCAAAATATTTGCCTTAGCTTTGTGTCATATTATCATGCCATTATTTACATTTAAAAAACTTATTAATCTATTTGTATTGGGTAATGATAAAATATTTTTTTATTTGCTTATTTCATGAAAAAGATAAGTAAAAAAAGTCAATTCATTGGCTACTACATGAAATATCACTGTTTTTATATATGGAATAATAATTTTGAACATTTAAATCTAATGTAAGCATTTCCCCATAAATATATGTTTTTTATATGTGATGATAGTTCAAAATAACATGAAATTTTAAGAATCCATTGTGTCCTTGCTAATCGTAGATCAATTTGGAAAATGTGACAGTTGATTCCTCAGATTCATTCTTATGATAAAATAACATCTATACTTCAGACTCAGATTCTTGTTTTTAAATTCAATTTGGATCAGCATATTTTAAAAAGCTTAAGAATGTTAGTTAGAATTTCATCATTTTACTAAAGGGGGTAATTTTGATGATATTCACTATAATTATTATATTTAGAATAAATAATACTAGTTTAGGAGTATATTATAGTTTAAAGGGTAAGTTATTTGGTCATTCAAAATCTCCTATCCTCATATATAGCTACCAAATTGATGTCAATTATCCTTTCAACCCAGACGTGTTCACATAAAACCTCTATATCGTCTTCCCAATCTTTCATCTAACAGGAAATTCAATTTACATGCTGCACATGGTTTGGAAATTAGCTTAAATCACAAGGCAAGGAACTAATTAAAAATTTATTAAATTTAAAATTATTTGCTGATTCCTAAAATTATTACTTTATTAAATTTAAAATTATTGCTATTATTAATAGATTTTTAGTTATTAAAATTAAATATTAATAGCAAGCATAATATTATTAATTAATTTAAAATTATTGTTTAATTAAATTAAAAATTATTTGCTTATGTAACTTCCAGATGCAAAGAGATTTCATTATCAACTACCAGGACTACTATACAATCTAAATATTAGAGGTGCCTATATCTGTCTAACACTCTTGAAAACAGTGTACTACATGTACTTACTTGTGTATTCTTAACCCTTAGCCTGTCGAGCGATTTTCTGCGAATCCCTTTAAAACTGTCGCTAGTTTTGGACCGAACTTCCTGTAAAATGTCTCGGAAATTGTCAGGCAGTTCTTTTGTTATTTCCCATCCCTCCCAGAATTTTACTTCAATGATTCCGCTAAGTGAGATTGATTACTAGATATTGTCTCATAGATGTCAGCTGTCAAGAGAATTGCAAAAGACTAGAATCTCCGTGATGGCCGTCTCAATGCCGCAGGGTACAGCTGTGAAACTTAAAAGTTTACTTCCCTAAAACAATCTTATTTTCAAATAAATTAGTTTTAAAATTTACCCGGTTAAATTTTTAATTATTACGCATTTTTAACCTAAGTAACCTAAATCTGTATGTCACTGTTATCATCTGAATTTCAGTGCAGACTGATTAAACTGCTATCACTAAATTTTATTCTGACAAATATCTCTTTCATACCTTCTGAGATATTGCTGAAACATTTTGTATTATTTCCGATTTTCTGTCTGTATTTTTCTCGTTAATTAAAAATATTTAAAAACTGTCAACATTTTCCTATATTCTTCAACTGCATGCAAATAATAATTATTTTAAATGATTTCTTTTTGCCCTAATTATTACGTAGTTTTAAGAGTAATAAACGGAACATTTGGATGTTCTGTTTATTACAATTAAATTTGGATTTACTTTTTTATATACATTCAAGATATTCAGAAAGGGAATTATAACCTGAAACTGTTTTCAGTTTATCATAAATTTATTGACTCAATTTAAAAATTCTTTCCTGTCCAAGATACACTAGTAAACTTTGTCTGAAATAGGAAAGATGAGACATATTAATAACAAACAAAGCAATTAATTTGGAAGTCAAACAACAAAAATCAGCGTTATATTTTCAAATTTCCACAGGACTAGTTTCAATGGTTTTACTGAACCATCATCCTCAGCTGCAAAAGCGCAAATGAACGAGATAAGATATAATGAAAATTAGATTGTGAAAATTTGAAAATATAATGCGAATTTTTTTTGTTTGACTTCCAAATTAATATTTGTTCGGCGTGTTATTGTATCTTAATTAAAGAAAGCAATGTTGTTACTCATTAGCTTACAATATAATTTATTCAGTATGGTATTTTTGTAAAGAAAGAGTGTTGCTGTACATTTTGTAAAGTATAAGTAAGCATTGCATTTAATAATTTTAACAGTTATTAGTTATTTAATAATTAATCATAAGAATATGAATAATTAAATATTTTTTCGGAGATATATTTTCCGGCGATATTTTTTTCCTAGGAATCCCAGCATACATTTTTGAAGCATAATGCTCTAAATAAATGTCTTGTTTGAACATAGCATTAATTATTGACACCAAATCTCCAACCAAAGAAAATAAATTACTAGGGAGGATATTTAAACAAAAAATTTTATTAGAATAAATATTTTCGTTATTTTAATACTACTAATAATATACAAACAGTAATTTAAATTCACTATAGTTGAGTGAATATAATTGCTGGATGTTGGTAGTTTGTTGTTGGCAACCGAACAGTTTAGCTGCTTGGTGTCTTTATGATTTTCCCCACGTGTAACGTGAATTCAAGCCAATTTTATTTAGAAAATTACCCACGAAGGTGGTCTCTTAAAACAGATAACTCGTGACTCCTTAAAAACTGTAAAATATAATCTGTGCATATTTTCCGTTATACAATAAAATGAACAAAAGGATTTCCTATACAAAAACATATGATCAGCGCTATTATTGGCCGCCGTTTAATTAAATGCATCCATCTTATTCCTTACAATTAATTTTCCTTCTTCAAAAAAAGTTTGTTTTCAGTAAAATATACTATTTACAATGTGCCAATTTATTTTGCTTGTTTTTTATGCAAATATCCAAATTGAGATAGATATTGTGTAAGTTCAGAAAGCCAACTAATCTCCAATCGGTAAGATAGTGAGCAACGGTCAATTCTAGCGGCTACATGGGAGGTTTAGGAGTTTTTCAGAAGTGCAATTGTGAATTAACAGTTTGTTTCCCTCAAAAAAATCTACCACGAAGACTTCCTTTCCCTTAGACAAATAGGTCCTGTGGGCTTTATCATAATCCAAAATCTTAAGCATAAAAACTTTTTATCATAGCCGATGATGACGATAAAATATT